ATCGCCTTAGGGAAACGAACAGGAGGTGAAACTCGAGAACCGAGACGATCAATCGGGTTAGTTTGAGCACACCCCCTTCCACAGGGATGCCGATTGGCGTTTGTTTGCGGCTCCAGCAGACCCGCGCCCGCACCCCGGGGTGGTCCGTCTCGTTCCGGTCGGACCAGGGAGCCCTGGCGATCGCCCCGCCCTGCCCTTGACTTAAGTCGCGTCTCGTTCCCGCTTCTCTCGGGGTCTCCCTCTGTCCGAGAGCGGGGGTGCGCGCTCTGCTCCCTTAACCTGAAGGCAGTTAGGCGGTAAAGAGCGTCTCGGCGTGCTTCGCTTTATTTGGAGCTGGCGGGTGCAACTGGCCTGTCTGGAAACGAGGGAGATGGCGTCGCTGCAGGTGAAAGACGACGAGCAGCAGGCATGCTGATGTCTTACTGTTGCAGAAGTGCTCTCGCACACAAGGAATACCGGGGTGCTGTCGTGCTTGTATTGGGAGTGAGAGTTTGCTGTGCTGCTCTAAGTGCGTCTCGGTGATCTGGGCTTTCAAGGACAAACAGAAAGGCTGCAGATTGCTGCTCACCTGGTGCACCGATTTCTCGTGGGGGGGGTGATGCTGTCAGCGTGATGACTCCAGTGCACTTCGAGCACATTAGGATTGCTTTTCAAGGTGCTATATAAAACAGTCAGCTGTTATTCCACCACCTCTTCGAGCACAGTGGGTTCCTACAGATGGGTGAGGCGGGACTGGTGAAAGTCTGGGCTGCAGTCATCGCAGGATCATCGCATCACTTTCAATAACCGCTGATCCTAGTCAGTCTCATGGCGGCCCGAAGACTATCCTGGGAAGCACCGGGCGCAGGGCGGGATAAACGTTTTTTCCTCCCGGTTTCTCTCAATAATCCAAAAACGTACTGGTAGGTTAACTGGCTTTTGGGACCGTCGGCCCTACAATGAACTGGAGTGGAAGAGACAGTTCATTGAACCCAGGACCCCAACACTGAGCGGCAGCAGTGCTAACGACTGCGCTGCCGCGTTGCCCAGAGGGGGGTCACAGTGATGTTGTTCATCTTCCCTGGTGTTTCTGTTTTGTTTGTTTGTCCCCTCCATGTGTCTATAAAGCTGGTTGGTCTGTCCAGGTCATAGTGTTGAACATTTTGACCCTAGGGCAGTGAAATCCGGCACAGTGGGACGTGACAGTGGGGTGACATCACCGGCGTCCACCTTGGGGATGCGTGCAGGCCGTTGTGGGCAGTGGACAGGGGTCACACGGTGCCTCTGTGGTTGTGCCCGATGACCATGTTCCCCATGCATCTTGGTCCTGCCTGGACTTCCGTCGCGCGTCGCTGCTCCCCGAAACATGGCCACCCTACCCTCGTCGTTTGTTTCCCGGTGTGTTCCCTGGCAGCTGGTCGGCTCCGCAGGTTTTTGCTGCAGACATTCCAGTTTCTGATTCTGCTTATTATAAGTGCACAACTGTTCTTGTGTGCAGTGTTTTTTTTCCCAAAGAACGAAGTGCACCCCCGTGTGTGTGTGTGTGGTATATCTTGAAGCAGCATTGCTGTGGGCTCAGCAGGCTGGCTTCGGGCACAAGTTTTCCCTGGGGCACGGCTTTCAGCAGAACTGTGAGCCCCCGTCCCCCACCCCCCGCCTCCCTCTCTTCCTTGCATCCCGTGTCCGGCCTCTCTTCGCCAGGACGCCTTCCCCGGTGGCGTGTGCCAGGCGTATGCCAGACTGGACCCCCCCAAAGTCTCAAAAGCAGCCAGAGGTTTTTCAGATGGGCTGCAGCAAGAGCTCTCAGTCTGCAGGATGTGACTGCTGTGGGAGAGATCAGCACGTTTCCTGCAGCTGGCTGCTTTGTCTGTGTGTGTGTAGTCAAAACCACAAACCCCAGACCTCAATTACTTAAGCTTTTACCTCTGAATTCTTTCCAATCCTGGGGCTGCTCTGACCGAGCCAGTGGCTGACAGCTCAAGTGATGCGAGATGAAAACCTTTAGGGGGTAATAAGAGACGATGACAGCTGAGTTAACTATAGTGTTTGCCTTTTCTGTATTTTTACCATGGAAATGCATCAGCAGATGCTGGATTCATCATGCGTGTCGCTTGTCTTTTTGAGTGTGAATGCAGTCTTCCACACTGTTCTGCATCTAGTTTTCACTCGTTAATAGTGATTTATTAGTCTTCTGTATTTTGATAAATTTAGAAGTGTTCTGTACCAACATTCTGTTCATATTCCGTCTTTAATTTCTTAATTATCTATATCCATAATTGTAATGATTTTGGCACAGTGGCTTGTGGTGTGTATATATAGAAGAAATGCGTATTTTTCTCTGTCTCAAGGCAGACAAGTTTACCTGTGAAAACGGGGTAGTTAACATACAAATTTTCACATGCATAGGAGGAAAATCGTTTTTTTTTTGCTGTTCATGGCAAGCTTTGTTTGCATTATGAGCTTGTTTTAGTATAAGCAGTGGGAAGTGGTCATGTGGAAAAGAATGGGCAGCAACTTCCTCCTCCGATGGGTCCGACAATAACAAATCTTCGCCATCGGACTTGTCGCTGGTTAGAAATGACCTGGCTGTCAATCCCACCGTCACGTCCGATAAAGTCTGGACATTTCTTCCTCGCTTGAATCCCACAAGAAAATCCTTCTCCCGACTTGTTTGGAGTGAGGTTACTAGAAAATCAAGATTTTTAAAAGCTGTTTATAAAAAGAACAGGCCTGCCCATATTACACTTTCTGTGAGCGCTTTTTCGAGGACAGTGAGGGGGCGTGGTGGGGAGTGAGGGTGTGCGTTGAGGGGGCGGGGCGTGGTGGGGAGTGGGAGTGTGGTGTGGTGGGGAGTGAGGGAGTACAGGGGCTTGGTGACGAGGGTGAGTGGGGTGTGCAGGGAGCTGACGTAGACCAACAAATGTTAGGATCACCCCAGCAGCAGCAGCATACGGCCAGCCTTGTCGATTGAGCGTGCCACCATTACACAACTGGCCCCGACCTGTAGGGTTCCCTATGGGGCAGATCTGTCTCCCCCCGAAGGGTTTCCCTGGGTTTCTCTGTCGTGTGCCTGTTCCAGCTGGGCAGCCATGTGACCACACACTCGCCGTCAACGCTGTTAAAGCTGATAAACTCTCAAGGCCAAGCAGAGACCCGTTGGAGATCCGAGCTAATTAACGGCAGCCAGTTGCTTGGGATTTCATCATCTCCAAATCTGTTTAGCTCGAGGGGGGTGTCAGCCTCCCAGGTTGGATCAAGTCGGTGAATAATAAGCAGGAGCTAGATAGTTGCAGGCGCAGCTGATTTTCATTGCCGTGAATGAATTCAGTAACACAGCTGTAGTGTCAGCCCCCGTGCAGCTCAGTCACTGAGGAAGGAGTTCTCCTGGGACGCAGCACGTGTTTTGTTGGAAAAATAACTGGCCTTTTTTTTTTTTCCCCCACAATTTTTGTATATGTGTTAAGGCTGTCAAAGGAAAATAGTTTTCTCCTTTTCTTTTGAATGATACCGGAAGCTCTTGGGAGCTGCTGAGTTAGTTGGCCGATGATGGTTGCTGCTCTGGAAAGCGTGCAGGTATTTCAGGAAAGGACAGGCTGCTGCAGTGGCGTCCTTGGAAGCTGGCTAGTTGTAAGGTGCTCTGTCCCCCTACTGTCTCGGGATGATTCAGAACCGGACGTCCCGTTCCCAATCCCTTGATAAAGTCCCCTCTGGAAGGTCGTTGTGCAGAACAGGAGCCGAGGTCAGGAGGTAAACTTCAAGGAGAGGAGGCTGAGTGGCGGCCCGGACGATGATCGGTCGGTGGCGGCGCTGTTTGGTGTTCAAAACAGGCCTGTTTCTGACCTCGCCCCGGAGGCAGGGCTGTCGGCTCGTTTTCCTGTGCGCAGCTCGAGGCGTGGCAGTGAGATCGAAAGTGGCACGCGGCTCGTTCACGGTGCAGTCCTCCAAGATCAGAGGGCCTGCAGCAATGGCTGAGACTGCTGGGTGTCCCTGGACTCTCGTCCTGCAGCGGACCTGCAGCAAGGCATTAAAGAAGGAGCTAAGTATGTTTTAAGTAAAGGTGGATTCTCTGAGGATGAGTTTTGTCAATATTTTTTGTTACTATTAAAAGTGCATGTAGTTCACCAGTAAAAAAAAAAAAAAATGCTTCTCAAAGAAGTCAGCTCTCGGTTCTAAACCGATGTATCACATGTACCCACTGGAGAGGCACACAGAGAGGAGAGATCCTTCAGACAGCGTTCTCAGGTTTTGCCATGCACAGGCAGTATTTTACAAAACAGAACGCACCAGATTTCCCAAGATATCCTCAGTCATCTCTGAAACCCATCCAAGACAGGAGACTTGCCCCGCGAGCAGCAGTGTCGGGGCTCACGGGCCACTGCTTCCGGAAAGAGCAGGGAGCGCTTCTGTCAGGAAGAGAGGGGATTGGAGTGACGGGAGTGTAGCAGAGGGCAGCCGGCTGGCGAGGGGGCTGCCAGCGCAGGGAACACAACGTCTTCAGTTTTGGAAAGTACCCTGTCAGTATACACTGTAGATATTGCAGTAGGGCAATGCTCAGCTCTCGCATGCGTATGTGCGCATGTGAGTAAAGAGCACGTTTTCCACGATCTCTCCAACGATCCTAATTAACCCGTTAGCCCTTTGATATATAGTCTTCTAGACCATGCAAGCTCCCCTCACAGCTACCTTTCCTGTTGCAGTACATACATGCACACAGCGTGTTTCCGATATGGGCTTCAGTGGTCGGAGGTTTGTTAGAAGGATCTTGCAGCTCGTTCTGTTCACGCCTGCTGCAGCCTTTGTCTGCGGTTTGTTTGAGATGATGCCCCCTTGCGAGAGGGTCCCCTCGCCGCTTTTAGAGCTGTGGAACAAGGAGCCGAGCCCGTCGTGACATCGGCAGTGGCCGTCCGCTGGTGGGCACGTGTGGTCTAGAGCAGTGGGAGTGTCGTCTCTCCGTCTCCTCTTTCCTCTTGTTGGTGGTGTTGACCTTGTGCTTTATTCATGCCCCGTCTTCTCCCTTCCAGGTTCGGACCCTATGGAATTCCGGTCACCGTGTTCCCCAAGAGGGATTACCGGGATAAACCCGAACCTATGCAGCTAAAGACGGAACCATTCCAGCCGGAGGCTCCGGACACACAGGACGGCCCCTCCCAGGAGCCCCCCGCCGCCCCCGCCGCGCCGCACCCCAGCCTGTGGACCTCAAAGCCCCCTCCCCTGTTCCAGGAGGGGGCCCCTTACCCCCCGCCTTTGTTTATCAGGGACACGTACAACCAGCCGATACCTCAGCCCCCGCCCCGCAAGATCAAGCGGCCGAAGCGCAAGCTGTACCGCGAGGAGCCCACGTCCATCATGAACGCCATCAAGCTGCGGCCGCGCCAGGTCCTGTGCGACAAGTGCAAGGGCGCCGTGGCGGGCGAGAAGCGGGAGGCGCGCCGGGGCCCCGGGGCCG